TTTTTTTTTTTTTTTTTTTTTTTTTTTTTTTTTTTTTTTTTTTTTTTTTTTTTTTTTTTTTTTTTTTTTTTTGTTTTTTTTTGTTTTTTTACCTACTTGAGTCCATGCAAAGCTTAAATAGGTGATTTTCCTTTTGTGTGTGAGGTGCCACTGTCTACAAACCTGTCAAACCAATAAACAACAACATTATTTAAAACCATGTTAAAATTTGTCCTGGTAGTTACTTCATTGTAATTGTGGAGTGGGGATCTGTAATCACGTCTCAGTCATTTTAAGAAAGTGATAGCAAAACTAATTGAAATGCCATGAAAGGGTTTGCCACATGACAAAGTTAGTATTTTGATGCAAATCTTAGTGCTCATAAATTACCATGAAGTGTAGGGGGAATGGGAAGCAAAATGGAAGAATATATCCAAATAGGATGATTTGTTGACAATGGAGGTTAGTAGGGCTTTAAACTAGACATTAGCATTATCCTGAAAGACTATGAGAATGACTTTCATCTTGCAGCACTTTATTTTCCTTGTTTTCCTTCTCCTGGCTTCAGGATCTTTGTAGACGTACTTTTCCATAAAGGAGCTCAAAGCATGGAGAGAGACACACATGTTCAGAAAAAACACAACAGTAGTGTGCTGCGCACAGTCCCAGTTCTCGGGTACAGATTGATAACAGAGGCCATTGCATCACAGTTTTCAGTGGTCCCAGTCCTACAGAGGGAAGTAGTCCTCCTGAGAGACATAAAAGCCATGGTGGCTGACTGCCAGTCCTTGTGGTGGAAGGTGCTTTGTACATGTTGGTGAATTTTTGTGGAAAAAGAGAGATAAGCTGAGAAAACCAGCTAAATTTGATGAAGGTATACCATTCTGATGGTGACCCTCAAGCTCTCAACTGTTTTGATTAATTCTCTGACGCAGTTAGTAAGTTTCTCAGCAGACTAAAATACCCTTAATTTTGATACCACTGTTTTTCTGCATTTCTGCCAAGCTGTGCTCAGTTTGATGGGAAGCTGACCATAAGCAGACTGCAACAGAATAGGCTACATCAAAGAAGCAGCCAAACTTAAATAGCATGAAATCCCTTGCTTTCAGGGCTCTTGGACATATCTCCTTACGAGAGCTTTCAAACCCTAAAAGGCTGCCTGACCAACATGTGCTTGTTACAGCACAGAAGCAAATGCAAGATGAGTGAGCTGCTCACCATCCCAAACTGTGCGTTTCACGCCTAAAATCAGGAGCAACCTGTTGCCAAGCTGGAAAGCTCATGTGGGTTCCTTCCTACATGTTACATTTTGGGGAAGTGACTGCTTGAAAATCTTTCTGCTCTAAAGTCAAGCAGACATAGAAGTCAAAAGACCTGGTTGAAACTCAACTCTGAGTGGGAGGAGAGTTCTTACAAGTTCTGCAGTTATCTGCTGGACAGATCTGAATTTCGGTGGCAAAAAATCTGCCCATCCTTTTATCCAGAAGCCAGAAAATTAAGGCATGAAAGGAGCAAGAGAATAGAGTGAAAAGAGTTTTTCATTACAGAAGACAGAAAATAGCTTGATTGAAAGTGTCTTATTCCTACCTCTTTTAATTTTATTCAATTTAATGTATCTGACAGTGAACTGCAATGGCTTTGCACTAGTTTTGACCCTGGCCATTAGCTGACAGCAAAATCCTAGGCTCCATTCCTACTTCCAACTCTTGGAAAGTGTAAATTTGAATGCCAGCCCACTTGTCCTACATTTTCTAAAAAACAAACTACGTCTCTAAATAGTCAGCTGTGATACTTTGTTGGTATTTCAGACTTTTTATTCTAATTCAGCAACTTTCACCTGTCTTATTATATTCAAGAGTACAACTAGGTCTAGGAGTGTAAGCTGTTGTTGTTTATGGCAAGTTTGGCAGGAGCTGTTCATCCCTGATGAGGGATGGGTACAGATTGCACTGGAGTGTGGCTGCCTTATTCATTTGTTGAAAAAAGGAATGATCTACAATTGTATATATTATGAGGAAGATATTTAGCTGTCTAAATTTAACATCTTCAGGCATGATCAAATGTATAATTAAACCTTTCCCTTTTTCTGTGCTAGGGGTAAAATGCTTTAGTCTTTGTACTCCTTGCTGAGGAAAGATCCCTGCTGAAACTGCAGATACCTTGTAGAGCAAACTATTTCACTCAGTCACCTCATGAGCTTGAAGTTCACTTTGCTGCCTCATGAGCTTGAAATCTGAAAATCCTTGAGAGGAATATTAATAGTTGAACATTCCCTATTCAACGATAACAAAGTAATACAAATAAAATTTGCCAATTGAAAGAGAATTTACATAATCCCTAATCCTGTGATCCAGGGAGAAAACATCTCTTGATTTGTTATATACGGGCTTCGTTTGAAGGTATCGTAATGATATTATAAAAAACCAAAAAATGGTGCATTTTTTTCCTTAATTTAAGGATCTACTGCATTTTATGGTACAACTATAAGTACACAACAACATAGATGCACAATACCTCTTGAGTGAACTAGTTCATTTAGTTCTAATTTTGCCAAATTAGAACAACATCCAGTTGTGTCATGAATCTAGTTTATGTCTTAATGCTGGGCACAAGGGTTACAGGCCTATAGTTTGTGTATGTTTTGTAACTAATTTTCTGGTTTGACTTTAAAAAAAGGTGAGTTTATCAAAACTCCATTCAGTTTCAGTGGGATGTATAGGTACTGAGCAAAAGCCAAGCTGCTTGAGTCTTGTGTTTCATAGGTGTGTTAGTCTGGTATGGTGAATGATTCCCTTTCAAGTGTATCCCCTTAATATTAATCTACCTCTTGTGCAAGGAATATGGAAGGAGTGGAAAGGCTATGATGCTCGAAAAGCTAACACTTCTCTAAATGCAGTGTTCCTATGTGCAAAGCCCCCACTCTTCCCAGAGCTAACAAGTTGCAGCTTTTTCCAAGCTGGCTAGGGATAAGCTTGCATGTCTCCTGTTACACTGAAGAAAATGAAAGCCTGTCTACCATTGTTCCCAGTGCCTATCCATTTGCAGGACTTTCCTGTCAGAGCTGGCACAGGAGAGGAGGGGTTTGCAGGTATGCAGCTGGGAGGCACGATGTGCACGCTTGTGCTTGGGGCACTGGCTGGTCCCACACACCCAGGAGCACAGGCTGGACTGTGTTAGTCTTCCTAAGGACATGGACTGGTTGAACAGCCCTGAGCTTCCTCCAGCCTTTCACTGCTTCAGAATCTTTCAGCCTGTTCTTGCCATCCAAGCCCTGAAGTGTAGCTACTTGTTCCCATCATGTCTGCCTGTTTGCCCACTCTATCCCTCTGTGGGGAGCTAAATAGGATAGAATTTTCTGTCAGCTTCACAATATATCAGTCCTGATGATGGAGATTTGGGGAAGATTTTAGAGTCAAAGCAGCAGTTCAGGAGCCAATCAAAATAATTATGCTGCCAATTGTTTCTAAAGACTCAACAGTAAACCAAGTTTCAAGCCTGCTCGACAACTACTCTGTTGGAGACAGCTGTTTTACATGACCCGTTAGTAACATTTCTTACAGGGAACCAAAAGGAAAGTGAGGAACTGCCAGTCGAAGCTTTTCATGCTAATCTCATTTTTGTCTTTGAGGTTTAAAACATTCACAAGGACTGAAAGCTGATATTTATGAATAGAGCTGGGGGCTGGGGAAGGTTGCTTAAACAGCTCCTAGCCTATCACCAGCATCTCCAGCTGTACTCCACCAGCTCCACAGAGATTCAGTACTCTGATGTTTTATGAATAATCACCTCCATATATTTCAACATTGTTCCTTCTAAAACACATTCTTGTCTTTTACTTTTTTTATAGACTTTTTTTACAGAAATGAACTCTTTTCCTTGTTTTCCAAGAAGTGCTTATGCAATTCAGTCACAGAAAATGTTGTTGAACTTGAAAGAACATCACTTTCTGTTAAATCTTTGTTAATTTGTATGCCCGTGTTCTGTTCTGCCTGGAGTACCATAAATCCTACTGATTTTTACGGGGTCCAGTGGGTGTAGAATTGTGCCAGGTGCTGTATAGATAAAGCAAGCTCAAAGGTGTAACCAAGGATTTGACCTGTGTAATGCAATAGAAGAAAAGCTGTACTGTGCAATATATAATAATAAAAGCACAATATGTCTCTTGGCAGCAGCAGAACTTAAAGATCAGCACCTTTGATCTAATACCACCAAGGTCCCATAAGCCTCAAACATAGTGACCATTCCAGAGGTGCCTACAGAAAACCACTCTGTAGTTATTGTTGTCTCAGATAACTTTCTCAAATTTTGATGGGTAGAAACACATTAAAGCCTTGCAATGCAGCCTAGAACTGTTTCTTTTTTTCCCCCTCTTTCAGCTGATTTTCTAGACAACATGCCTTTGCGAAGTTCTGGCAAGCTGAGCATGGAGACCAGAAAAGATGGTGAGAGTACGGCACCTGCCCCTCCGCAGAAGAAGCTGTCCTGTCAGTGCCACCACCACTGCCCTGAGGACTCAGTCAACAGCACCTGCAGGTTTGTGGGATATGCATTTGGTGATGAAACATGGGAAAACCTATTTGTGGTAGCTCAGCGATCTCAAGTTGGGTGTCGCAGTTTTTGTTTAAGCAGAAATATGTAAATATGTTGTTATACATTGTGTCTAAAAATCAGAGGTAATTTTTACCTAGATATCAGCTACGTATTTATATTTTTATTTTAAGCTATATAGGTATTTATTATTTTAGATAATACTTGTATTAATACATTGCATATGAAATATTCTGAAGGCAGAACTTTGTTTTTAAAGGTGCATGCAGTTAATGAGAGAAGACTTGATAGAGATATATGAAAATGTCAGTAAATGCTTATAAATTTATAATTACTCTTAATAGAACACCATTTATAAGCACCCTGATCTTTGTGTGCATCTTTGCACTACCTGAGCTATTTTCTGTAGATCCTCAAGGCTTTGGGCTTTTTTTTCTTGTTTCCATACTAAAAGGAAAACAATCTTTACCTTGATGTGAAACATTGTGTATTTTCTTATACTAGCTATAGTCTTATGGGTTTTTTTGGGGGCTTGGAGTACTTCAGATCTCACATTTGGGTTGGATTCTGCTTCCTTGAGTCCTTTTGCCTCCCTTGGGGAGAAGCATATCCAGATGTGTACAGGCTTCTTGAAGGTTCAGCATTGGTCTTGTTGCAGTGTCAGCTGTTTTGTTGCACTGACAATGGCTGAAGCAAGCAGAGGTGACTGAGGGTACCTATGGTGGGACCAAGTTGCTGTTCCCCTACCCAAAAACATCTCTTGCAAGACACATAAAATTGCTGGTGAATGAAGGTACTGGTCAAAAACCTCCGTCTTGGCTTAAGATGCAGGTTACAGTTTGCTTTAGCTGCAGCAAAGTTGGGCTGAGCTCTTCATGTTCCATATGAGGAATTTAAACTTTTCTGATTATTTAGAGCAAGTATGATTCTGGAGATACACACTATCAGCCATAGCCTGGTGGACCTGTGGGAATCAGAGAAGCATCAAAGCAGGGCACAGGTATGAGCCCAGCTGGAGATGCCAGTTCTGTATACGGTGCTGTTTAAGGTGAGATAGTCAAACATCGTGTCAGCTCTTCAAGGCAGAGTATTAAAAAGATAAATGGGGAAAGCCTGAGGTTGCTGAAGATATTGATCGCTTTGTTGGATTTTTGAGTGTTCTTTTGTAGCCTGACAATTCTTCTCAGCCTGCTGTTTCATACTGAAGTGTATCAAAGTTTTGGTGGCAGCTATAAATACCATTTCCCCTTTCTATCCTCTTCCTACAAACCCGTGCTCTAGCCAGGAGTTAGACTTAACTGCTCTCACATGACAGTCAGTTTAAAAAGCTGTAAAAGCCCACTCTGATATCAATTTGCAGATCCCCTGCAGCGTGAATCAGCTGTTTCCTTTTCCTGCCCAGCAAGAGCCACGGCTTTCATATGTGCTGTCTCTCACACACAAGAACAGGGAAGTTGCAGATGACTTTTAAATCCATGAATTGGGAAGCACAAAGGGATCAATGTTAAAGAGCCAACTGAACAAGGCTGGGTAGGCCTGCTGTTGCACGTTGCTTTGTAGGCGTCATTGGCATTAATTATTTTTCATGTTACCAGGAACTATGAGTAATGTTCTATGAAAATGGATCTGTGCATGTTCCCTTACTGCAGTGCTATAAAGAAATTCTCTTTAGAGGTTGACACCCCCTCATGATGTCAAATGTCAAACTTTTTTTTTAGGTGATGCCCATGGATGGGCAGTTAAGTGGTAATAAAACATAAAATTGTAACCCCTTTTGTCTTCATAATCTTTGAAGATTTCAGATTTCAGTGATGTCACTTTAGTGACAAAATTATTTTTTCCAATTTAGACATCAAAATAATAATTGAAACTGGAATTTACCTATCAAGTATTGTCACTTTTCTGTCCCGAAATACGGGAACAGTGAGGAGACTTACAGTAGATCAACTCCTCGTTCTCCTGTGCATCACCTGAGCAGTACCCACCTTGCCACTTGCCCAGTGAGAAACAGCATAAGTGAAAAATTGCTGAGGAGAGAGTTTGGAATAATATAAAACAACCAAAAAAAATTTAATTTAAATACCCTTCCTTCATGGCTTGTCAGCATATTGGTGTCACCTGTTCATGATGGTGATCATTGCTATGGGTCCTACTGCCTTGGTTTGAGAGCTGCAGTGAGGTATGAAGGACCCAACACCCCTTGTTTTCCCTACGTCATCTTAACTGTTAATCTGTAATTGTTTCTTTCTTAAAGTCCTTTCTGCATAGCTGGAATTATGCATCAGAAGTGAAATGTGATGTTACAGAGAGAAGAAGGTCCTAAGTCTACTGTTGGGAAAGAGTAGTTATTAGGTGTCTGGTTAGCTGGCTGGATTGAGACCAGGTTTCAAAAGATCTGAGCACAACCAATCAGATTAGCAGCTATTATTCGCTTCCCCTGTGTTTTGGAATCATCCTACTAGTCAGGCAGTAACTTTCATATTTCATCCTAGCCTGAATGACTGTTGGCACAGTTTTAAAGCACTCGGGAATCATCACTGAACCTCACTATAAAGAAAGTTGCCCCATTTTGATGTTGAAGCAGTATTGATTGCAGTGTTTGACTGAAGAATAAATTGACTGCTTCAGATTAAAAGTTACTGAATTAATTATCCTCTTGCCTCAGATTTAGCCAATAAAAGCCTTTTGCATTTGATATTAAAAAAAAAATTAAAATCAAACCTCTCATCGGCTCTATCTGTTTGGACCTGCAGAGTTTGAGCCTGCAAGCCTGACAGGAATGAGCCAGTGTGTGCTGGGGCACCCAAGGACATGGCAAAGCCAGGGAAATTATTGAGTACATCCATAGGCAAGGCTTGTGCTCTGGAGAGCCACTGCCCCTACCAGGGTTCTTACCAAAGCAGTGAAGCCTTTTGTGAACAAGGACCTCTGAAAGTTCAATGGAAAAGTGTTTCCAACTGTGTTTAAATTAAAACTTTCGGAGTTGAACAGCTAGTACTATTGCAATCATCATTTGAAATTTCTCATAAAAAGCAGTCTGTCATCTCAAATGAAGATTTTTATCTGCTACCGCAGGTATTCATCTGCGAAAGGATAGATCCTGTCCATAGTACCAGTAGTCTGAATGTTTATATAAAAATGAGGACATCTGGTGGCCATTTACAATCCTTTCCGTAACTGTATTTTAGAAATTTAAAAGTCAATTTTTAACCACATCTGTATCAAATCCTCTAACAGCCTGCTGTGTTCCTATACAGAATTTCCCTTTCTTTATACTTCTGCAGCTGAAGTCCAGTATTACTTTAGGGAGCCAAAGATAACACTGCAGCTTAAAAGGCAGATTGTTTTCTATCTCAACAGAAAACCAGCAGCTCTTGTTAGAGCGTGCATTCTGTGAGCACACATTTTGGAAGATCCATTAAAGGGCCAGCTCATCAAGGGAGGATTCATGTCAAGGTGTAGCAAAAGGGGAAGCCAGGCCAGGAGCTGAGGCTGATGCTAGGGCTGGCCAAATCCTCACACACCAGGACCCCGTTTCCTCAAGGGTATCTGAACACAGCAGGCAGAGACAGCTTCCTCAATGGCCCTTCACATGGCTGGTAGTGATCTGGAGACAGGCACTCCTGTAGCACTGCTCAGACCTCAGCTTACATGGAGCCCCTGGGCAGGGGATCTGTATAGGGGGAAAAGGGGATCCCAGGTGGGGCCACTCTGGGCAGTTGAAGAGTATTAGTGCACTCAGGGCCCTGACAATTAAATCTTTGGAGAAGACTCATAATCCTCTGCTTGTAAAGGGTGTGTTAAACTGCAGCATGTTGAAACCTTATTCTTCTTTCTGAACATCTGTGTGTTCCATAAAAGACTTTTGGTAAAGAAGGTCAAAGCTGCTTTGAACACAACCAGGACCTTGTTTTACTGCTCCATTTCAAGTTTTGTGTGTACAAAGTGAATGCATGGACAGTTGTGTCTAATCATAATTAATTGCATATTTTAAAATGTAGTGTTACATTTAATTGGCTTTGACTGTAATGGGATTGCAGTAAAGGCAGAGGCTGATGAGGTGTCTTGTCACACTCTATTTTCGTGCACAAATAAATGCTGACGGTTTTAAAGATTGGGATGGTTAGGTTCAAGTTCTTATGTGTTGACTATTGGATTGTATTTCTGCCCAATAGTGTCTCGAGGTATTTTTGAGGTGTTTGAGTGATAAGGAGAAGTGACTAATATAATAATTGAGTTGCTTTTTCAGAGTTACCAGAGGTGATAATTCACTTGAGTGATGTTATTTTCATTCTCCTTTTTCTCCAGATGATGTGATCGAATCTTCTTTGTAATTTGGTATGTAAAAAAATGACTTTGACAGTGACCAACGTACTGAATTCAGGCAACTTTTCTTTTAAGCCACTACTTTTTAGGGAAAACTTGAACATTTTCTGGTATAGGAGCTATGGTAAGGTCTTACATGTTAGCCCTTCAATTTTTTAATGTTTATTTTTTAATGTAGTCCTTTATGCAGGGCTGTACCAGAGGTGTTTAACTTGCCTTTGGTGACTAAACCAAAAAACTAAAGGTCAACAGAGACAAAATCTTGCAAACTCTAGTCTTTTTTTGTGCCGTGTTCCAGGGCCTTATGTGTCATTGGTGGCTCAGCAGCTGATTTCACCTCAAGTGAAACTGGAGTGTAACTCAAAGTCCCTGTCCCACACTTTTCAAGTGTGCCCTGGAAGTTCTTTGATTTTAGTTTTGCTCATGTGTTGCTTGCACATTAGGTATTTAATATAATAGATAGTCATGGAAGTCCAGCCTCTCTGTACTGAGACCTGTTGCATTACTCTCAGTTTTTTATTGTGTGGGAGTACTTTGGTGTTACTGTGCAGAAAGTACTGGAATAACTAAAACTTCTCTTGCATATTAAATTTTAGTTATACAAAAACAACAATAAAAAAAATCCAAACCAGAAAATGTTAAGTCTGTCCTAGCATTAAAGAAGAACAACATCATACAAGTTCAACTGCAGTGTAATCTTAAGGTCAAGTAAAAGAAAACATAGGGTCTGTGTTTAAATTTTGGAGACAAAAGAAAGGAGTAAAAGAGAAAGAAAAGAGGAAGATGAGTATCTTTACACTGGCTGTTTTCTTCTTGATAGTTCTTACATCTACTGAGATGGATTTGGCACATAAGTGAAAGGTGCTAGAGAGCCCTGGTGAAAATGCAGAGGTGCTCATGCTTGGTGTTTTTGCCGTGCCCCAAGCTGTACCATCAGGTCTCTAGACCTGTCAAATCTCATATACTCTGCATCAAACCTGGACAGTTTCTAGGGCTCTGCCTCACAGATTGGCATAATGACTTGTTTCCTGTGGTGTGACCCTACATGTCAGGAATAACTGTTTGATATTCTTTGTGATTTAGTAAAACAGTGCAAGACACATTTAGTGATATCTCAGTCCTGGGAGAATACTATGGGCAGGTAATATAGAGAAAATATTGATTGATATGCCTGTAAATAATAATATGAAAATGTAATAAGTGATATCCCAACTCCACTAGGATGTGTTGGGTACCCTTGTTCCTCTCTGTGTGTTGGGTCATCACTGAGCACCCAGAAGGTTCCATACACAGCAGAGCATGCATGGTAGGATCAGCATCACCATCTTGGAGAGTAGTGTGGCCAGAAACTGTGGTCCGCTGTGAGCCACCTTCTTTGCTTTGTAACACCTGTAAGTCTCTCTTTGCCTTCAGGGTAGTTGTGCAAAATCTGAGGGTGCATCTGGCTCAACAACTGTGTAGTGCTCTTCTCACTTCGTTTCATGTTACTTCCCTGGTGTACAGCAGCTAACTATATTGTGTTTTCTGAAAAATGACCCTGTATTGAACACATTTACAATGACTTTTTATTTTATGGATGGTGTCCAAAGACAGCGTTTTGCTAAATTTGGCCTTCATCATCCTTCTTAAGTGAAGGACAAAATATGTGAATTAGATGCAATTTGGGAGTCGGCCAATCTTCAAATTATATTATTTTGGCCAGTTTTTACAGAAGAATATGAATTCTCAATTTCTGTACATGATACAATCTAACATTTTTTATCATTTTAAAAATAATGCAGAAACTTGTTATTAAAAGATGCTGTTGCTCTTTCTGATATAAAAATGAGGAATATAAAGAGCAGTGGACCAAAGTAATAATACTCATATGAACTCTTTTGAAAATAAAATTAAAGATAAGGGATCTTTTCATCGAGTCACTTAAACTGTCTATCTGTGATAGGCACCGCACGAGGGAAAGACATTGCTTTTCACAGTTATATATTGCCATTCCTGGCTGTGTCACACACGCATAGAGCCGGATGGGAAATCTTCAGCAGTCAAGTTTTGGTAGCTGAGGAATCACATCTTCTGTGAGAAATGGCTTCTGGCCAGTGAGGACATCTGTGTGAACAGATGCAAAGCTGTTGGCCTTGGTTTCCGTCTTCTGACATTTAGTAAAGGTCTGAATTAAGATCATTGATTTCTTTGTGGTAATCTGTAATTGTAGCACTACCTTCTATATCAGTGTCTGTCAGTGTTTCCACTATTAACTCCCTCTATTTTCCTGGCATTTGACTTGGCTGTAAAAATTCACTCTTGGCAAATATGTGACATAGCAAATCTGTGCTTATTAGGGAACACATCCAAAATGTATTTAATCACTCTCCTGCACCATACTCTAATAAGGTGATGCTTTAGTGGAGGAGGTTAGTGGATGTGTAACCTAATGTATTCAGCAACATCACATAGAGTTTCGTCTTGACACACCATTTGCAGAATCAAATTATGCAGAATTTAAATTGCAGAGTTTAAGAAAATAATAGTTATCTACTACAAATTTTTGCTAGCAAGGGGAGAATAGGATTTTCATACTGCTTTGTATGTATAGGTGATGTACAGTTGTTTCTATTTGTGCGGTGACCAAAATAAACATAAACTTTGAGATGATGCAGAGTCATCTGACTTGTTTCTGACTTGCTGTATTTGTAAGAACAGTTTCATTTCTACCATAGGCAGATATGAGGTAGGGTAATCAATAAAACAACAGGGCTATGTGCTCTGACAGGAGAAAAGGTCAGGGATGGGAGTGGGGAAGCAGTTAGGAGAGACTTCTTTCTTTACAGAGAAGTCACTTCTCCTTATCACCCAAACACCTCAGAAATTTTCAAAAAGAATGAGTTCTTATATTGCGTGAAAACTTTTGGGTTTGTTTTTTTTTTCTAAGACATAGAAACAAGTAGTGTTTATTCTCCTCAGCATTGCTGTTTCTCTCACCTTTCCTTCATTATTTTAAGATTGTCTGTAAAGAGCATGATCTATCCTTATTGTTGGACATTTACAGCTTTTTTTGTTTTGCTCTATCCGATCTAATTTTGGTTTTCTTTTTCAATTTGGAGTAAAATATTAAGAGGGTCTAAAGTACTCGAGGAGCCTGACTTTAATTTTCAGAAATGAGCTAAGAATCAGAGTCCCATGACAAGTCGGAAAAATAGAATTAAAACTGCTGACTTTTCTGTTTCCCTTATTCCCTTTTGCAAACAATTTGACTTTTCCTTCCCTTGCTTTTCTTTGATGAACTGAGAGTTAGGGTTTGTTTTTTTTTTTTTGCTGGGAACTGTTAGCAGTGGAGTTCATTTTTGTGTTTCACTTGATTGCAATGTATTCTTTGGTTGCTCTGTCCCCTGGGTTAAACTTACTCCTTACTTTGAATCAAAGCCACCATGCAAACAAATAAAATCTAATCCAATATAATATGCTACTATACTGGATTCCTTACAGTCTCTCTTGGCAATCCTCTTGTTCCTATCTTTTAAGCTTAAGCAACGAAATCAAGGTGGTGGTTGCCCAGAAGGGTTACTGTCTCCTTTGCCTTACTTGTATGCACAATGTCAAAGAAGGGTAGAAGTCATCGCTCGCTTCCCCGAGAAAGTAATTTGTAATGTGCAGTGGGTTACTTTTCAAATCCAGAAGTCAATAACCCATGATAGATTATTATTTGAAGTAATAAGCTTACTGTGGCTAGACCCTGCACCACTAATATAAAAATATGCCCCAGCAAATGTTTGACATGATCCTATGCAGCATCTCTCTGTCATGTAGCTAATACTTACAAATTGTGTTTATCTCCTAAATGTGTAACTGTGCCTCTTCATTGCCTTTGCTCTTGTTGCTCTGTTAGACTCTCAAGTAAGGAGCAAATCATCTGAAATTTTGCCGTGTTTAAGTTTTCTAATCCCTTTTTCTTTGTATTTCCTTGGTTTAACTGAGTTTCTCTTCTGAAAAATACTCATTGCACATAATAACCAGTGTTGTTTTCCTGGGGAAATAACAGAATATTTTCTTTTTATGTGACTTAAATGTCTCGTATTAAAGAGGTTTTTTCTTAATTTTTGGATCTTCTTCCTGCAAATCAGTCAATTTTTGTTTCTTACACATTACGTATCTCCCTCAGAGTGCTGAGAAATAAACGTACAGCGGTCTCAATAAAATGCAGCCACCCTTTCCGTGCTCTCCTCCCCCTCTTTCCATAGCATTCAGGCATTTGACCTTCATCAAGGAAGGACATTTATCACCAGCACCATCTAGCCATCTGTTAGTATACTTGTCCTCCCTGGTGCATGTTCTTGTAAACGGAAGCATTATGGATCACTTTAGGGTTATAGCCCAAGTAAACAATTATGAAGGGTGTTGATGATAACTCAAGAACATACACAAGAGTGTTGCAGTTCATAATATGGTTAAAACAGGCATCACAAATCACTCTTAATAATATTTTTACATTTAGTATCTCAAAAATGTTTCTTCCTTTAGGTCTTTCTCATGATGTAAATATCCATGCGTTCTTCCCAACACACTAGGCAGACCTTCTGTAACTTGGAGGTTGCATCTGTACAGGTCTCCAGAGTCTTGACAAAATTAACCATAGGCAAAGAATTGAGATGTTTATTAGTGGGGTTTGTAGCTGTGAAATGTTGGAAAGGTAAGTGAGTCTACTCCAAGGTAAAGCCTCCTCTGTGTGTGCAAGAGCTGATCCACAGCAGCCTTAGTGTGTTGATTTGTTAATGGCAAATTTGCCTTGCAGGGAGCAAAGTTTAAGACAATATTGAGCAGCTCATTTTTCACTTCAGTGCCTTCTTCTGATTCATTCTTTCCAATCCTCAGCACTGATGGCTACTGCTTCACTATAATAGAAGAAGATGAGTCTGGTGGACATTTAGTCACCAAGGGATGTCTTGGATTAGAGGGCTCAGACTTCCAGTGCCGGGTAAGTAAGTATTTCCTGCCAGAGTGTTGCTTGAATTTTTGATAGCTTTCAATTAAAATGCAGTCAACAGATGTTACTGTGTCCATGTTTTTCAGTTCTGTTCATTTGACAGATAGTTGATCTGCATCGATTGCAGAGGGGAGTGCATGATGATACTATAGCTGCTCCTAACATCAACTTATGCTTTTAGTTTCAGCACTGCTGTTACTAGTAACACTCCTACGCAGAGGAGGTTTGTATTTAAAGAAATGCAGTCTTAACTCCTAAAGTCTCCATGGTAGCTAAAGTTAGTTAGATATCATTTGATAGACTGCAGGAACTTTTATGTCTTACATGCAGTTATTACACTTTGGTTTTGGATTTTTGGTGCCAGAAATTCCCTTCAAGTACAGTGATCACCTGATGGAAAACTATCTGCAGGAATGGACGGGGTATGGGCAACGGAGCAAGGTGCCTCTAAAGTGTTTGCCTTTCCTCATGTTAACCTTAAATGGTTTCATATGAGTACAGGAATGATCTAATCATTAAACCCATGGACGGTATTTTACCCAGCTTCCCATGGGACCAAAATCAGCAGTTAAATTAGTCCACACAGCAGTTCCTGTATTATTCTGGCTAAACTGTTTTGGATACTCACATTTACTCATTTTTGCAATGTACGTCTAACAGATGTGTGTGACTTTCAGTTCTGACTCACACCATTAGGGTCATTCACTCCCTTCTGCAGCACTAGGGCACCAACAGACATAAGTTAGGAATGAGTTAATCTCTTAATTATCTAGATGAAATATTGCTGGATACATTGGGTGGCAGACTTACTCCACACATCCTAGAAATCTGTAGCACATTGCAGTCCAGCTAATAAGCACCTCTTTCTCTCAGGTGCCAGAATGACTATATGTTTACAACACAGTGAATTGCTTTCTATCAAATTGTTTGTTTCAGGACACTCCTATTCCACACCAAAGAAGATCTATTGAATGTTGTACAGGCCAAGATTACTGTAACAAACACCTTCACCCTACACTGCCACCACTGAAGAATCGAGGTAAGGAGAAGTAAGGGGAACAAAATCCAGTCCTAAACTGATCTTTTCCTGCTGTTTCTCTTTGTACCTTAGGAAGAAACAGAGTCAAAACTGAAGCAGCTCTGTCCAAATTCCCATGATTAGAGATATAAATGGCATTAAATAGTATCGCTGCATTCCTGTAGTCGTGTGCGGAGCAGTGTCTTGGCCCAGAATTGCTGATACTTGCTCTTACTCCCATGGCACACGTGCAGCAAACACCAGGTGCTTTTAGAGTTGCATGATTTTGTCCTAGCACAGACCTGCTAGCTATCAGTGATCATCCCAAAGACATGGGATGATCCTTTCCCACAATGTTAGTCATGGCAGAGGATGCCTCTGGCTATGTGTTTTTTTAGCCTGATAATCAAATTGAATTCTCTCTCTAGTCCCTGCAACATGCATTACTGTCTTTCATAACTCTACACCTATCTAGGACCAGGTCTGCACTGGTTAATTGGTCAGTTCAAGTTGACTGTAGTCCATTAAGCTTTTCTTCTTTAAAAGACCTGGTAATCCAGCACTGGGACAATAACAAGTCACTAAACTGCATTTTCTACATGAAGAATGTAGCTGAAAACAGAATGTAGGGTAAGAACTCATGCACTGTTTGTTGTGGGGTTTTTTAATTTGTTATTTGAGAGCAGATGGGGATGCATTAGTAAATGCTAGGGAAAGGTTTTAGCATTTTTGTGTGTTTGTTTAAACATCGCTTTCTGAAAGTTTGCAAAGCTACTTTTGTCTGGATGTTGCAGAATACATCCTGTAGAAATATATTCCTAAGTAAGTGTAAATTCACCCATGATAAACTCTTGGCATTGGCGGGAATTGGTGCTCAGCACTGAGTCAGTTCAGAGTTGCAGAAGAATTTATAATCACGGCGTTCTGTGTTGAAAATCCAGATCAGTGTGCAGATGCACTCTTAGTTACACAAACAGCAGATACTTACACAGATGCATGCTCGAAGAAAGCCTTCACTCGTGTAAGCTGTTCCCTTCATGCCTGTGAAACTCTGCACAGATGGGCTGCAAAATCAAGCCTATGGAGAGTAGTATGTAAATACTTCACTGTTTACTAGCTAGCCATTAAGGCAGCGAAACCTCATAAAATTCTGACTTCCAACAGAAGAGTAATGTACTACTTTGTTGGTTTATTTCATTTTATAAAGTTATTTGGACTGAGAGAGAAGCTCCAAAAAGAAGTCAATATTTGTTCACACTTAGTCTTTCATTAAATATCAATTTGGAAAACACTGCCATGATTTTTTCTTACTGCTGAGTTTATTCTACATTAAAACTACTTAAAAATACTGAACCAGTGCCTAACACTAGACATCCACCTTTTTAAGATTTTAGTTTTTTGGCAGTGCTCTCTGCTGCTTATACAGAAAGCAATAAAACAAGCTTTTGGTAGTAGCAGAAGTTGTTCAGACTGGTGTTGGGTTTGTTCTTTGTGTATATGGGGTAAATAAAGTATCACTTGGGCACCATAGTGGCAGACCCTTTAAATAGCAGAGAGAATATTTATTACAAGAAAAATATCAGGGAGTTGGAGCAGAGTTCTAGCTGTTCTATGTTGCAAAGTTACCTATTTTAGCATGACAAACAAAAGGCGATGTACTCACTCAAAATATTCTGAAGATTTTTGTTTGAAAGAAGCCCTCACAATACCGGTATCCTGACAGTGTATTGCCAAAATACATTTCAAGAGGTGCTCCATTAAATGTGGCTGAACAGGGCTGAAGTCAGCACCTTTATTAAAGCCTTAAGTAAATATATCATTCTTGGTGCCAGGCCTGTTTTAATTTGTTGCTGCTGTATCCTAATATGAAACCTCAGGAAAAAAAAAAAAAAGCTAGTTAGAAGTGTAGATCCTCACTGCAACTAGGCACAAATACTGTGTATAAATACATGCTACTGCCAGTGTCCAGTACTATGACTGTGATCATTGTATCTACTGGAAACATTTAGATTAGGCTGTGATTGTCTGAGTACTGTTAGAATTGTATATCAAATTTAACATAAACTGTAAGTACAAAGAAAGAAAGAAAAATGAACTATAAAAAGCTTATAGGAACAACTTTTTGGCCTTCAGGATTCCATATGTATGCTCCTTAGAATTAAAAAACAAACAGAAATTTGGCTTCTGATGAACTCATCTCCAAGGTGTCATCTCATGGGAAACAAAATCTAGGGAGAGCATGCAGCTGCAGGTCAGAGGTTGCTGAACTGCAAATTGACCTATGCACCAAGGTAACAATCTACAAAGCCGAGTGACTTGTATTCTCAGAGTGCTTTTCCAGACCTGGCATGTGCTGGACAGTGAGGTTTATGCCACACCCATCCTCCCACACCCCCCTAATCCCCCAGAAATGAAAGAGAGAGCTAGAAGAATTAACACTGGTCAAAGCAAGACTTGTTAAGCAAGATGGAAGAAACAACAGCCAAGGTTTTGAGCTCATCTTGGTACAGAACTAGCAGGATAAAATATCCCAGAGAAACCACTAAGTCCTTGTTCCAGATATACATCTGTCTTAATAAGGAAATGAAAATCATAATTGGGTCTAACACCTTTGCTTTAAACAATAAAAGATATTCCTGGAAATCCCAGCGAAAGCGCAGCCTGAGACCAGTCAAAAGGAGAAATATGTCTTTACTGATTTAGAGCCTATATAAGCAGAAGTGGTGGTGCCACCGTGTCTGGCTCCCTGCCTGTATAGCTAGTGATGAATGGGCAAGGGAATGATTGGAGGAATGATGGGGTTTGATGTGTGCACACAGTCTCCACGCCTCGGATTTCACTGCCGTTTTTACTTGGATAGCTGTAACATTGTGAACTGGAGGGACCTGGGGAGGGAAGAGAACCTCCTCTCCCTTTGATATGCTGACTTCTCCCTTGAACCTGCTGGGTGGCATTTTCAGTGCACTCCTCAGCATGGTCCCACGGATGGCGGTGAGGGAAATGAGTAGTGGAGGAGGGGAAAATCATGGGAGAATAACTGAGGCAACTTGGTGTCATCGAGCTCACCACTGACAGCAGCATGCAGCGCTGTTTTCATACTACATGAAAATATTAACATTCTGTTTGCTGGGCTTCGCCAGCCAATGTGTGTGAAGAGGCTTCCCAGAGTGTTTGTTTTGCACTCCCAACACAATGCTCCTGGTAATCTCTCACTGCTGCCTCCATGGAAGCTACTGCTTATTCTCATAACCCTGCCGCTTGGCACCTTGCAGTTACCAAGTAACATAACACTAAAAAGCACAGTGCTGGACTTCTTAAAGGACAGAGTTATCTTCAGCACGTAAACTGGCACTGGCTGGGACCCACCACAGTCTTCACCACAAAGCCCACAAGCCAGTCATTAAGCAGACTCACAGCTGAGCTGCCCCATCCCTCCACCTGGTCAAGGAGGTGCCAAAAATTGTTCAGGGAAAGGGAGGTTTGTCCTGCAGCTCTGTGGGCAACAGCGTGGGCTGGAGGAGAAGGAAAGAGTTGATCTCCAGCAGAACCAGTCTGGTTCAGTGCAGCAGAACAAACAGGCATTGCTGGTGTAAGGATGAGGGCATGCATTTAATTTTGTGTTGTCCACATGCCAGCAGGTTTATGAAGTCCTCAAGTGAGCAAGCAAATCAGATTCTGCCAAAATGCTTTAAAAATGCAGGAAGTGTTTGAAAGGTGAGACAATAGCTCACTTATCATCAGTATTGCCTCTCATAGTACGTAGCCAAATAAATATAAAGACATATGGAACTTATTCTCCCCTCCTGTGAGAGGCAGTTGCATGCCTGTGCTGTGCAGAGCGAACCACTATGAAAGCTGTGTCAGCTGACACTGCTGGCATGGGGGACATCACCCACTGCAAGAGTGCAAGCGCACTGGTGCTGCTGCATTCTGCATCAGCTGCTCCCAGCAAGGAGATCGGGACACGTTCCTTTATGTCTTGCATGCTTTCCTTACACTTGCTTCATATAATTGCATTTGGGTACCAAAAGAATTGCGCAGCGTTGGAGCCTGAAGGTCATCTGAGAGAGTTAAACAGCACTTCCAAATGCCTTCTGGCCTCTAGGAAAACCAAGACTGCATTTATTTGCTTTTCTGAATGCAGAAGCCCATTAGAAACACTGAGCACAAGGTTTGGATCACTTTAACATTTACCAGATTTAGAGATTTCAGCATCTTTATCTTCCCTCTCCAAATGTATATACTCACGCACGCACAGACAGCATGAACAAGTTCACGTGCAACACTTTGTGCTTGTATAAATGCACAGATTTCCGTGGCTTTACTGTCTAGCATACACAAGTATGAGAGAGATCTGAACTGCTCCCTCTGCATCTGTTGTCAGCTTTCATTACTGCTAAGCGTAAAACCCCAGCTTCCATCCTGCCCTACTCTAAGAAGTAGGAAAACCCTTGCTGTGGACAAATATCCAGGTTTCTCCCAGTATAAAATGCCACTATATGGTCTCTCTGCTCTGTTTATCTTCTCTTTAGCTGATGGGCTGCGGCATCTTAAACTGTTACAAACCACACAATTTAGAGGGAAATAGTGGCTGACACAGGCTGCTTACAAAGCGCGAACTGGAGCCCTCAGCCCTGCCGAGCAGCCATTGCCTTCACGAGAGAGGTCTGGATTCCCTGGTGGGCTCTCGGTTTCGACTCACAGCCCACTTGGAGTGGCAGGCCAGGGATAAATCTGCTGTGGCAGGGAGAATGATGGGCTCGAGTGTTTTCCTGATAGACAGGGTGTCAGTGTCCCCTTTCAAAGGCATCAGCCGTGTCTTGAATGTTTACATTGTTAATGCTCCCAGAGCAGATAATGGCAGGTTAAAACACGGCCAGTGTGATCAAAAGGTGAGTTGGTAGGTAATCTCTATTTGTAATGGAACGAGGAAGGAAAGAAATAGTTTGGGAGCGAAAAAAGAAGGAGAAACTGGATCTTTAAAATAAGAGAGTCTGACAGTAAACTAAGAGTCCCTTAGGAATTTCCTCGTCTCATTACCCTTGTAAATCTGAAACATAATAACATTGTTCCAGGACTAAGGATAGATTTCTTGCATTCTATGATGTGTCAGGCATTAGAGTGAAGGATACAAGACAGCAAGGCTGGAAGAGCCTCAGAAAACATGGTCCTCGTTTGCGTTATACCAGATAGCAACTTTGGAAGGGTGGCATGTAGATACATGCTGAAATACTGGAAGTTTGAGAGTTTGGGTAGTAGGAGAGGTTAAAACATCGTATTGCTAGGTTTCTTTGTTTTTTAGCAGAGAAACATGAATGAAGGTCAGACTTGGTTGCCTGAGCTAAGAATACAAATTTGGAGATCAGTGTTGTACTTTAAAGGGAAATGTGAGTTTCCCATGCCCAGATTGACTAAAATGTTTTAATAGTTTTAATGGAACAGCATTATCTACAAGTTACTTGACATGTTTCATTTTCAGAGTGCTTTACAGAATAGCTGCTGAAAGAACAATTTTGCCCACAAACATAGGAAGGACTTGCTGGCACACAGGGCTGGCTGCCGTAAAGTGAATGGAGGAGAAAATTCCTGTTCAGCTGTTTAAAACAGGATCCAAGAGAAGGATTATTCTGCAATGAGGGAAATATACTTTCAAGACATCTTGTGGCCTGCCTTCTTGAGGGTTGAATGACCTGCTGTGTCTTTCCTTCTAGGATAAATGAAGTTCTGTTGTGGGGTTTTTCTGTTCATTTGGTTGGATTTTGTTTGGTTGTGGTTTTTTTCTTTGTTTGTTTGTTTGTTTGTTTTAATATTAACTACTCAATAGTATGCTGCTTAATATGACTGTTTTAAGATAGAGGCAGTAATTTTTGCATGCCCTCAGGTTAATTCACAGAGTTACAGGTCTTGATTGATTTTTCATTCAGACCCAAAAGGGAATTGCAAATTAGGGCAATGTTTTGCCTGAGTGAGGGCTGAAAAATCAAATAGGCTTTTGGAGGTGCCAATTCTACCCTGGTCAGTGAAGATCAAAGAGGAAGCACACAAAATGCCTTGGGAATCCAGGGGTGTCTTGCACAGGACTTCATTAGGAAAGAATGGAAATGATCTTGTGCTCAGTGCACTTTTTAAGGATGTGTCTTTTGAGATTGACTTCGTACCACCTCCCTTTCTGAGTTTTCTACCTTTCTTGTTTTTAACCTCAGACTTTGCTGAAGCAAACATCCACCATAAGGCCCTGCTGATCTCAGTGACTGTTTGCAGTATACTTCTGGTGCTTATCATCATATTCTGCTACTTCAGGTAAATAAGGGATAATTTGGCACTTAGTTAATGTTCCTCCCAACTTTTATCTTTTTATAGATTTAGGAATTTGAAAAAAAAAAAAGAAGTGGACCTTAAGGAAAAGAAATAAGAAACTGTAATTTTTATAGTGAGAAAAAATGGGTATTTTATTCATGCTAGTCACAGGTGTATCTATGTGATGTATTTCATATACAGTTTTTTGCCCAACATCTTATAAAGTCATTCAGGTTGAGGCACAGATTATTCTCTACTGAGTTTAAGAAGGCCAAATCACAAATTTTATATATGTTAAATAAACCTAAGACTTCTAAATGTGTTTATGTGGTGAAGAAGTGACCATAAAAAAAAAGGACAATACAGGAATGTAAGTAAATGTGTCTAGAGTGTTATCATAATATACATAGTTTTAATAATTTGTCACATTTTTTAAACAGTCCCAGATTCCATGGCTTTACCTCCTCTGGCTCTTAAAAGTCCACTGCAAACAGTAAAATAAAACTGATTATTTATTTGGTCTGGGTTTTAGTCATATTCAAGTTTCTGAAAGGAAAGCATTTGATTGTTTACCCCAGATTGCATGGTCTTTGAGTGTTACACTTTAAAAGTTTTTATGCTGAAAACAGTTACTAAAAATAAAATAGAAAATTTTGGCCAGTGAGTCCAGCATATTCCTCAGGGAAGCAGAGAAAACTGTTAGTCTATAAATGAAGGAAATATGAAGGACGATGTGCATTATTCATTGCACGTGTGTTCATTGTGTTCAAAACTAATTTTGTTCTCATGTAAAACGTCAGGTACAAACGCCAAGAGACGAGGCACCACTACAGCATTGGGCTGGAGCAGGACGAGACCTACATTCCCCCTGGAGAGTCCCTGAAGGATTTGATCGAGCAGTCCCAGAGCTCAGGGAGCGGCTCTGGGCTCCCTCTCCTGGTAAGGAAGCAATACTATTTCAATGCAAGTTTCAAAGGCAAAAATGAGTAGAAGGAGACGAGGCACAAGAAATTATTTTTAAAAGGCCTCATCTGTTGTTTTAGTGTTTTGTTGGGTTTTTTTTCTCTCTCCCAGAAATGACAAGGATTTAAGCTGGAGAACAGCTGCTTTAGAAGCAGGAGACTTTTTTTCATAAAGATTAAGCCGAAAAAAGCTCAGGGTTATTTTCCTACCTCACCTCATTTCTTATTGTAGATACCATAGGATCAGTACAAGCTAAGGGAGACTCTGGGGACATTTATTCCAGTGGTCTGTCTGAAGAGTTTGCTGAATTACAGTTTGGTCTCTACCTTTTTGTGCGTTTTTTCCCCTAATTCCCTTTCCAACGAGCTTTGCTTTTCAAGGGACTGCACCCAAGCCATAGATACGAAGTTCTCTGTTCAAAATAATGAAGTTACAAAAAGCTGGCTTGTCTAAATTTTCATCTGCAGTAGCTGAACACATTTAGCTAAATGCCAGAAAAATAGGAGGAGTTGGTAATTGGATTGATTCTATTTGGGGAGAGGAAAGGAAAGGCCATGTAACTTTACCTGACTGCTTACAGAGCTCAAGTAACAAAATATACAGATTTAAAAAGAAATTAAAAAAATCAGCCCCACTAAGTGTAAGTAATTCACATGAACACATCGTTCAGCATACTTATGAAATCAGTTCATCCAACAATTTTGATTAACCTATTTGTTTTAGAAATCCTAATTGGTTTATGATACAACAAAGGACTAAATTCCTTAAACTAAAATAAATTGCTCATAGGAAATCATTTGACCAGTTCTAGCAAGAGGAAACTAGGTTAAGGTCCTTCACATAGTATTCTGCCGCCTGAAAACCCATAACAGAAATGTGTTTTTCATTTTCTTAATGTAATTTAATAAGGAACTTTTCATCATTAAGTATTGTAATTCCATGTACTTTATGATGCCATTACATATATTTACACAAATTAAGTTATTTGATATAACTACATTATTGTTCAGGATGCATTTTTAAAATGGGCAAAATAGAAAGCAACAATGCTAAAATGACATTACAAAATGTTACAGCAAAATTCCAATGTAATATAACTGTTGTTCAATCACTATATGAGAGTATAAAAGAGAACAAATCAATTTTAAAAATTACAGCTAATCTCTATTCTTGGTTTTCACTGATCTTAATCAAAAATAATGGCTTTGAGGCTACCATCTTGTAAGCCTAATAATTCATTGCAGGGCTGGAAAAATGGAATTCTGTTTAAATGACAGAAGAAAGCTGGGACATTAGAAATGGCTTTGCATGAATGCCACTGTATGTTTTACTTCTTAAAATTGTCTATCATGAAAACCAGTAGGTTTTTTTACAAAATTAATGATGATAGACCTTACCTAGTAGGTTTTGAGTTCATCTTTGGACGTACATTCAGGTTGCAGTGGGATTGTGGCATTACCAAATGCTCAGCATTACCAAACTGGTGGTTTCCACTAAACCTCCCAGGCATAACCAAGGAAGCAAATGATTCTAAAAATCAAGTTTTGCCCATTTCTGTCAGCCAAGATTGCAAAACTATTTTAGATTACATGAAATACATATCATTTCGTAGGGATTCAGTTAGTGCACACTTGCTGCAATAAACTGCTTGAGATTTGTATCTGGGTGGTGGCAAAACTGAGTGAGAGAGCACAAATTTGAACTTGTCCAGATTTTGCCAGTTGATTGGACCAGATGAAAATCTCCTTGCATTGGAAATGATAAAATTATTTTCTTTCAAAGTCTTGTAAAATCCTACCAAACCAAAAATCATTAGCAGTGGATTGACTGGCAATGGTGTAACACAAGAGGGTGAATCTGCTGTTTTATTAGGGAGACGCCAAGTCAGCCATGAACACCAGTGTCCTGTGCTGCAGCATCTACTCGTGTTCTTATTTGTGAACTTTTAGAAATATATGATCTGCAGACATGTTCCAATCTGATGAGAATAGGAATTCCCATTTGTCCAAGATTTTTTGTGGTTATAAAAGCTTGTTAAATATAGACACAGGGTCTGTCATCCTTATGAATAGTATCTCTGCAATTCTGCCACCGTGTACGTTGATCTTGCACTACAGCTGACTTTAGCATTAGCTCACAGTACAGGCACTGACAAAGCTAGCACAGACACTAGAAACACTAGAAAGCTGTCTTCTAAATATTTGGGGGGGGGGGGAATTTGCTTTTTATTGATAATTATGAATATTAAAATAATTGTAGGTACGTGGGTCCTAACTCTCTAAGTAGTGGTTCCTAACACCATTTTGAAGTTATTAGGCTTGGCGTTTTCAAGGATAGGTGATAGGAAGCTGCTATCAGTAATTTTGCTAGTTTTGGAGGGCTAGTATGCTTTTGACTCCTGTGAGCCCTAGCCTTCAGCCTCAGCAGTGTCGAGTATATGATGAATATCCCTATTTTAATCAAAATGTGTTACCTACCCCTCTGGAATTTGGGTAACATCGAGATGATGTTTTCTGTCAAAACTTTTCCAAAAGTAACAAAAAATAAATTCCACAAAGTGGCAGCATCCTACAGAAAAATAAAAAATTCAGGGTTCACAGTCAAATGTTTCCTTCACACAGATCGATTTAGTTTCTTGAGAAGCCACAGTGTATTTTGAGCATTCATAGAAAGGCTTCTTCACAGCGGTAGGAGTGTTCTTACCAGCACTGTATCTTGAATAAATGGGGAGCATCTGCAATTGTGGAGTGTTCCTGAAATCCTTGATACAATGGCTGCGTATTCCACTTTTCTCGAGACTGGCTGCGTGGGAAGGAGACATAGAAGGAGGGAGGTGAAGGCAGAGATTTGCACTGAGCAAAGTGTAAGCATCTGTCTTGGCATTTCACAGGTTCAAAGGACCATCGCAAAACAGATTCAAATGGTAAAGCAGATTGGAAAAGGTCGCTATGGAGAAGTCTGGATGGGAAAGTGGCGTGGTGAAAAGGTAGCCGTGAAAGTGTTTTTTACCACAGAGGAGGCCAGCTGGTTCAGAGAAACAGAAATCTACCAGACTGTCCTGATGAGACATGAAAATATTCTTGGTGAGTGAATTTAAAGAGAATTTTTTGATAGTGTACAGGTTTCTCAAGTTTAGTAATTTTGTATTTGCTGTTATCTGATGTCCTTTCCGATGTGCTTTGTTACCCGCTGTGCTCTGCAATTAGCCACCCAGCGCTTTTCAAAGGAAAGTTGTTTCAAGGATTACTGAAACATAAATAAAAATTAAAAAATAATGGGCTTTGGGGGTTGTTACTCCAAATGCAACACGTTTGTTTCAGCCACCAGTATTTCCATATCTGAGCTTTCTTGAAAGTACATTAAAGGTTAGAGGTGCGAAATAGTTGCATGTAAGTGTGATGAAAGAAATTAAATATGTTATCAAAATAAACTATTAAAGTGGATGACAGTCCAGAGTTCTGAGCAGTCAAAAAAAAAAAAAAAAAAGCCTTGAGAACTAGTAATGTGAAAATATCTTTTTTTTTTTTTTTTTTTTTTAAGGATTCATTGCTGCAGACATTAAAGGTACAGGATCTTGGACCCAGCTGTATCTTATCACTGACTACCACGAGAATGGCTCACTCTATGATTATCTAAAATCTACTACCTTGGACACAAAAGCCATGCTGAAACTGGCTTACTCCTCTGTTAGTGGTTTGTGCCACTTGCACACTGAGATCTTCAGTACTCAGGGCAAACCTGCTATTGCCCATCGTGACCTGAAAAGTAAGAATATCCTGGTGAAAAAGAATGGCACCTGCTGTATAGCAGATTTGGGCTTGGCTGTTAAATTTATCAGGTGAGTAGAAGTGAGGAGGCTGAGGAAAAGTTAGTCAATCAGATGCAAATGCTGCCTTAGTTGTTGACTGACTGAGCATGCACACACGAGCGTGCTCCTGCAGTGGATGTGCATACTTTCTGGGCTCTGCTCATCTGTGTGTGAGGTTATCAGTGTGGGTGAGAATGTCACATAAACACCTAATGCAGGTATATAAATAGTCAATTTTTGACTACTGAGCGCATTAGTTACATTTGCATAAATGTTCAGTTTTCACCACTTGGTCCTCAATAGCTAGTCTAGTATTGTTTGCACCTGGTAAAAGGGCATAGCACTGGCACATTGAAGTCATGTCAGTGAGCTTGTCACTGAAGCATTCAGCTTGTCTTATCCCATGAAAATTCACTCACAACTTATATGGAAAAATACTAATCATTTGCACAAGTTACTAACTGGGATTTATTGAAAAGGACCCCATTTGGGCTGCCTTTTGTTTCATTTCCTACAAATCAAATTGCCGAAGTACAGATTTGATTTTTGAAATGGCTTTTAAATTTGATTTTAAAAAAATGGTTGTGTGTTTAAACAACTTAGAAAGAGCAGACAAGTAGAACTTTACTCACTCCTGGGATTCGTAAGGAGAGATTGCTCTCTGACAGCTCTGTTCAAAAGGAGTTTGAGCTCTCGGCGGTGGTCCTGGTGGTGGAGATGTGTGTTCCAAAATCTCTGATTTTTCTGTACACAGAAATGTGTCCAGAATACATAGGCTGAGGGTTTCAGTTTCAGAGGTCAGCTTTGAAACTGTGCGCTCCCTGAAGTATTAAAAAAAAAAGTAAAATTAAGAATTCTGTACAAATCTTGAACTGAAATTATTCAGAGTGAAAGGAAAGGAAGTTTTTATATGCTCTTCTTACCATTCACTTACCTACCAGGTTTCTTGGTGAGGCTTTTGCTTTATGAACCTGACCTTTCTTTAGGACACATGAAAGGAATATTTTTACTTTGAGGAACAGAGGCCTAGAAAACAGCAACTTGAAAATATACTATTAAAAAGTTTCAGGGAAGAAATTCACACTTTGCAGGCATACCTTGCCTGGCAAATACAGAGCAGCACACTGCTCAACTATGAACGAAGAACTAGGAACAACCAAGTGTTGTTATTAAAGAAGGTGAAACATGCATTTGCCACAGTCCAAATGAAATTTACATTAAGTATTTGGCTTGTTTTCATACTGAATCCTTCCTCAGGCAGCATTTTTCAGGCAACAGCAGGGAACAGGAAATAGTTGAAAGGGGTGTGCTCTGCTGAAGCTAATGATTCTAGTAAAGTTCTTTGTATTTCTCATTTAATTTGAAATATTGCAAGATGGTGCAGGTCACTGGATTTATGTTAAATTCTTTGAGGCGTACAGAAGTGCCACCAGCATATATATGATTTAAAGACTGTGTAGGTGACTGGTTGTACCTCAGACTCTGCTTTTTTTTGGTCATTTTCGTAACAGTAGGTGAAAAAAAAAATTGCGGTACATGAAGAAAATTACAGGAATATAATTATTCTGTGAGCATTTGTTGTATTTAAAATATGTACATTTGGGAGATCGAGAAAGGAAAAACAGATCTTTTTAAGCAAACCAAAATATATGTATAATGAACCTCTAAAAACATTAAAACTGATACAGCTGAATGTGAGTTAATAAGAAAAAAAAGCTTCCAATCACATAACTAATGGGAATTTGTTTACCATTAGAGAGATCTTGTCTCTTCTGGTCAATGTGTGAGGTGTGACACATTTGCTTAGAGACATAAATGTGTAAAAAATTCTGTGTCTACACATCTTGATGTGTAAAGGTTGGAAGAGATCAAACATACTGCATGCGGAAAATAACAATTAGATCCATCTTCCTCGCAGATATGATTTGCTGTAGCTAAGTGATACTGTGCTATGTAGTGTCCTCCGTTAATTGCTAAGACTAAAGCATTAGGTGGTGGAGTATGTTAGGAAAACAGCCTTTAATGAAGATTTGATTGTTATCACTAACATTAGAGCTCGGGCTAATGCTAATGAAATCTCACAAATGTTACAGCATCCCTGTTGAGTCTTATCTCCATTGTGGTTCTGCATTTGAATGCTTAACATAGCCTCAGGCAGGTCAGCCTTTTAAGGAGGATTGCCTTCACACTAAGAGGCTTTTCTTGCAAAAATTGTTCCATTAAGATTATGCATTACTTTTGACCTTTTTTGAGAGTGGATGTGGTGTGAACGTCTTACATTTCCCATCTAAATTGCTTTCTTTTCAAGCCACTTTGTTGCACGTCTGATGCCCTTTTTTTCTCCTCCTTTTCTTTTAGTGATACAAATGAGGTAGACATCCCTCCAAATACCCGAGTAGGAACAAAACGTTATATGCCTCCTGAGGTGCTGGATGAAAGCTTGAATAGAAATCACTTTCAGTCGTATATCATGGCTGATATGTACAGCTTTGGACTCATCCTCTGGGAGATAGCAAGGAGATGTGTTTCAGGAGGTAAAGAGCTGGGAAATCGCTTTTAATTATGTCAGTGAACCTCAAATCTTCCATTACATCTTTTTCTCTGGGTTATTGTTTTTACAGTAATAAACAAATGTGGGTAAACAATACAGGTAACTCTCTTAATATCTGTTCTCTTCTTGGAACCTAAAGTATGAGTCAGTGCTATTTCAACAGCAGAAATTTATACTGTAATTTAATGGCTTGTTTGAAGGCAGCAGATGCCTTTATTGAAGAGAAGTATGGAACTCATTTGGGGGCCTTTTCCAAAAGCATCATGTTTCTGCTGGACTGTGTGTGCTAGCTAATTTAGGAGAAAGAAAATAGTGATTTCTTTGTTTTGTTAGATTCATATAAAAGGAGGGGAACAAATAATTTGGGGTTTGCTGTGCCACTATTTGAAATAAATAATCCATTTACACGACAAGTAGCAAAAAAAACCAGAGAGAAGTGGTACTTGCAACATCTCTGTCATACCAGTGATGTGCTTAATTTCTTTCTGATATCAGGCAATGAAGTTGAGAGGACAGCAAAGATAAAGCAATGCAGCCAGCTGCAGACTCAGGGCATAGATCCATCCTTGTACGCATAAGCTGTGTGTGCTTTCTGCACTTAGAGCTTAGTGTAGTGCAGAAATGATGGATGTTATTACCCCTCTTTTGTCACTGGGAAAGTTAGATGCAGAGAAATGACTTGGCAGCACTTAAGTGCCAGTTTGGTGACAAGAGTAGAGCGTGTCTCTCTTGGGTCTCCTCTACCTTCACCATCCTTTATGAGTCTTTAAAGTCTGCAATATTGTGCTGAGTGCTTACCCTAGAGGAGCTGAATGTCACTGATCAGCAGCATGACCCCGGTGTTTAAAACTTGGTGAAGTATATTGCAGTGATGTGATGTTAAATCTGTAATATTTTTGTCATCGTTACTGTGCACAAAGGATGGTACCTTGCTACGTTCTGAAAAGGCACAGAATGCCCTTTAATATATTCGAGGTTGACTGATAATAAAGCGACCTAACTCTGTTAAATTCCTCTGATACAGACCCTATACTAATAGCTCTTTCTGTGAGAACCTCATGGAGATTGCTGGACTGAACAGCAGTGGTAGAAACTGTCTCACTTGGCAAGTAACTACACTTCTGGATTAAGATACCTGGCCAGTCTTTTCATGGCAGTGGTTACACTGGAATTTGACTGTGGAATAAACTTCTATGGCAGGGAAATCCTTTTAAGGAGAAGTACATCTAACTGTTAAACAGTATGGCCAATCTGTTATAAAATGAGAGGAGAAGAGGGTAGTGGAAGTTGTTTTCTGCAAGTGACAGGCAACTAATTGCTTCTTTCAGGAATAGTAGAGGAATATCAGCTTCCCTACCACGACCTTGTGCCCAGCGACCCCTCGTATGAGGACATGCGGGAGATTGTGTGCATCAAGAGACTACGCCCCTCATTTCCCAACAGATGGAGCAGTGATGAGGTATTGTCCCTCTTAAAATGCAGTCTGTGTCTTTAATCAGAGCGAGTGAGCGAGACTGACCCAATTCTGCATCATTTTGAGGGAGGAGGACATTTACCACTCGTGATAGCTGCAGTCACAGTGTAACAGGGTTCAAGCAGGAGCACGACCTTCTCAGAGAGCCCCTCTGAAGGTTTCAGAGCCCCACGGGCCTTAGCCTATGGTATTTGCAAGCAGGTTCCTCACCTGCTGTATACTAGATCCCACAGTGATAGCAGGCTGTGGTCAGACCTTCTTAGTCTCTCGTTTGCTTCTTGCATTCATTTTGCTCTCTGCTCCTGGCAGCAGCTAGCCAAAACTTTCTCTTTTGTAAGAGAAATAATTTTGTATAATGGAGTGGCAGTATACTCTGTGTACTGGCAGCTACTTCAGTGTGTACTGATGTTTGGGCAGTAATTCCAACTTTTTCCTTTATTTTATTTTTTTAAGAAGGAAATATCTTCTGTTTCTTTGAAATCAAATGAGCGTACAGCTTTTCTGTGATCACAGGTCTGCAGGTTTGGAAACACAATTTTACTGTGATTTTGTGCTAACATGAGCACAAGCTATTAAGTTTCACTTAGGGTATTGATGGGCAATAGCCCTGACTACAGTAGCTGGGCTGCACTGAGGGGCATCAATTGCTCACCCTCCTACGTCTAGCAGAAAAAAAAGTGTTCATGTACCTATTTGCATTTTAGCAAAGAGGACTACGGAAGTGGCCTTTCAGAGGAGATGCAGTAGGCAGAAAATGCTTTCCATTGTAAAATCAAGAGGTGAGGGGGTGGGGGAGTATCTAAACTCTCCCTTCTCAGCATCTGTAATAAAGCAAAGTTGTGCTTGTGGGATCAAGAGATGAACAGTTGAGGTGGCACGGGCAAACTTGCCAATGGCTCTTGAGATGCTGTGGAGGAGGGGTCATTAAACATATTAATTGGTATAGTTTAATGCTGTAAAAGTTTTCTACAGTCACAGAAGACAGCTGCTGTTTGGAAAGAGCAGCATGTAGATGAATATTCTGCAGGTAGATTTAGGGGGCATGAGATGTAGGCACTTTGGGGACGGGAGACAAAAATTAAGCTTGTGGGTTTGTACAACAGCCAGTGTGGGAAGATCTAATCAAAACTCACCTGCCTTGTCCTCTCCCTAGCCCAATCCCTTTCAGTTTTTGGACTGGGATTGTAAACGCTGGAGGAAGTTCTGATAGTAGCAGTCCTGGGAAGGGCTTTTGTGTGGTGGCATGCAGTATGTGTTTGATCTGCCACCACTCATATTGAGGACTGGGGAGGCTTGTTGTTCTTGATTAATTGGTTAGTGTCCTCAGTAATCCCACTTCAGGCATTCCAGCATTAAGAGGTAAATTTGTTATTGCACAGTGCTTGCTTATTACCAAAAATGCATTTATAAAAATCTACAGTAATCTAAAATGTGTTCAGCTGGTCTGGGCACTAGTGGTGATATTTATGTGTAATGCCTTTCAGGCGCTGCACTGCTTGTGAGCCAAGAGTCTCACGAAAACCAAGAACAAGTTGGATGAGATGGAAAGCTTCTGTTTTCCTGTAGTAGCAAGCAAAATACTTCAGGCAGCATAAATCCATAGGCTTGTGGGGTCATCACCCAGCTGCAGTGGCTTATGTGGTGCTTTATGTTTGGAAGAAGGTGGGAGAGGCAGAGCAGGAATGTGTGCTGCTTTTCCAGGATGTCAAAGGCAATGCTGAGATGCTGTCAGCAAGGGAGTTGTTGCTGGGAGTCAGAGGAGGATCTGGCTACGTTTCAAAAGTGAGCAAGGGATGGAGTAGGACAGGGCAGAGCTGAGCTGGGTGCTTGTAGGCGACTTCACAGTGTGGGTGGCTGGGCAGGAGCTGTAGGTGCATGCTCACGCTGGTCTGAACCCAGAGATTGGTTGCTGGCTGAGGAAAACAAATTCCACTACATTTATGCAGCAAAGGGCTCGCTGTACAGAGCCACACTTGTGCAGATCAGGCTGCAAGGGAAGGGGAAATAAGAAAAGGGCTTTTGTGGAGTGTACAGCCAAGTCTAGACTATAACTTGTCAAAAATTATAAGAGAATTTTCATGTTTGGAGAACTCTCCTTAATATACAGTAAACAAAAGCTTTTGGAAAGCACTGTCAGCCATCATATTGGGTTTTTTTAATCTGCCCTTAGAAAAGACCTTTTCCCTTCAGCTTTTCAGCATTGCCAACAACTGCAGTCTCCTCTTCCACTGATCCAGATGCGACTTTCTCTCCTGCTTCTCTCCACAGTGCTTGCGGCAGATGGGGAAGCTGATGATGGAGTGCTGGGCTCACAACCCTGCCTCCCGGCTCACAGCCCTGCGGGTCAAGAAAACACTTGCCAAAATGTCAGAGTCGCAGGACATTAAGCTCTGACTCTGCCAGAGGCAGCTCTCGTGGAGGCCCATGGAAACGGACTTTTCTTGTGCAGGCAGAAGTCCTGAAGAGGTATCAAAAGTCTTCACTAATAAGTACCTTGAGCAGAATCGTGCTTAAGAACAGCTGTAAGTTTTGAAGAGACTATCCTTTGCAAAAATCACCTGAATTTTGACATATGAGATCGAAAGAGGCTTGTCTGCCCTTGTTTACATGGGGAAATACAGTTTTAGTAACTGGTTTAAGGTTATGCATGTTGCTTTCCATGAAAGCCACTTATTATTTTATTATTATTATTGTTATTATTATTATTTTGATTGTTTAAAAAAGATACTGCTTTAAATTTTATGAAAATAAAACTTTTGGTTAGAAGTAAAAAAGATGTATATTGTTACCTTATAAAAATTTGGAGGGAACTGCTGAAAATGAAAGCAAACCAACTTTTCCATTTATAAAAAGACTATTGCACTCCAGCATTTAAAAAAAAAAAAAAAAAGGTGAGTGGGTCTGTGTATCTCACAGGAGCTGTAATGGAGACCATCTTAAAAGCCACCTATTTGTAGAGATAACTTTCCATAACCCTTCATGTGCAAGTGGTTCTCACAGGACAGAGGTGGAGCCCAATTACATCCTTGCCATCACTGGTGTGGGTGGCCAACCTCGGAGAAGGTCATCCTTTATTTAAGGTAATTGGGAGCTCTATGAATATGGTTTAGTGTGACTTGTTTAAAGAAGCTCTTCATGTTTCCAGGAAATCTGATGGGGATAGTACCCTGATGATAAACAAGTGCCCCTTTTCTTGGCTTTTTTTTTTTTTTCTTTCTTTTCTCCCACTGCAAAAAAAAACTTTGCGTGTGAGTGGATATGAAGTACATATTTGGATCCACTGGTGAATTTGAAACTGCTGTGACACACATAAACAACCGCTGGGTAAGAGGAAGTTCCTTGTGAGAAGGAATTATTAACTTGCTCTTTCATTTGTGTAAAAGCGAGGGACCCATCTACAACCACAGTTGAGGAAAAAAAAACAAACCTGTGTTCCCCTTTTTTAAGGGAAAGTTGAAAACCTCAAAAATGCCCATCTCTGAGGTGGTAATCAGTTTCTTTTAAGTGTAAGGAGACCTGGTACCTCGTGTCCATAAGACATGACAGGGAAGGAGTATGGGACTTATGTGGGTGATGAGAGCTGGGCACCGTGGACGCAGTGGGCACCTGCCTCCAGCACTTCCCCTGCTGTAGTGAGAGACACCAAACAATTTGGCTCAAACTTCACCTGCACTACTATTTTGAGTGGCCTTCCAGCAGCCTCCATACCTCTGGCAGCCACCGCACAGTAGTGACAGGCTTGGCTGCCAAGCTGGGGCTGCGTAGCATCGTAGTTCCCAGCAAGAGGAGCTTTTATGGGAGAAGAGCAATGGGAAATGTAATTACTGCCTTTCCCTGTTCCTCCTTCCTGAGGTTGCAGCAGTTGCTGCAATGCTAATACTACAGAAGGGGAAATGAGAGGTGAAATATTCCCTGTGAAGTGTTTTCTTTGGAAAGGTTCTGTTCTTCATCAGATTATCAAAGCTGAGCTGCGTGGGAGTTACTGGTTTACCCTTTTTTACCCTTCTTTTATTTTTTTAAAATTTTGTTGCCTGCCTACGTCCTGTTTTACTAGATAGTGTTCAGTTTAATATTGAAATAAGTCCTTACAAATGCTGCTTTGATTATGCTAAGCCTATTTCAGAACTGAAATAATTGCCATGCTGGATTTAGCCTCAGCACTTCTGTAATGCTTCTTTTTTTCCCCCTTTTTGGACAAAACTGATTTATTTGTGGTAGGTAGATATATAATTGGGGTTTAGCTTCACAGCTCCCTAAAGGTATTTCTAGCTGGAAAAATTAACATTTTATACTTTCAAGCTAACAGAGAAAAATGTGCAGGTTCAAGAAAACCAGCAAGACCTCCATGATTATAGGTGTCAAAAGGCTTAATCAGAGGATTTTTGTTAATTAGAGTGCTGCTTCTTCAGTGCAGCTTCCCTGCCCAAAATTGCCAAGCAATGCAATACGGAAAGAAAACCTCTGAGAATTAAACAGTTAGCATTAGTTAAGTAGTACACCAAATCCTGACCCCAAGAGGGATGATGCTGGTTCCCTTGTTCTTAAAAAACGGCATGCTTGTGAAGCTGAGAGTAGAGTGCGCTCCACTCCTTGGCTGCCTTGGCTTCGATATTTGTGGTCCAAAATGAGGACAGCCCAGCCTCTCTTCACCTTTTTTGTCTTAGCAAATGGAGCCATGGGGCTTCTAATTTCACTCCCTTTCATAAACGCCAGGACAGCTCCGTATAACCAAGGTTTCTCAGCTCAGAAGAAGCAGATGGGACCGCTGACTTTGGCAGCGGCTGAGACCAGGCTCAGCCGATCGCACCTCTGGGCAGGGATGCCTCGTACCTCCTGTGTTTAGGTGTGTTTCACCTCTGCCTTCCTGAAATAGATTTGATTTTTTTTTTTATTATTTTTTAAATTATCGTGGCTCTCCTGAGAAACTTTTTGGAGGGTGAGGCATGCCATGCCCTGGCACGTGCCCTCAGTGTGTTGCAAGAGAAAGTTCTGGTTTTCTGAGCAAGTTTTGCCTTTTTTGTTGTTGGTTGTTGTTTTTGGTCCAAGAGAAAAGGATCTAAGATACTGGTTGATAGGTTACATAAAGTTTGTATGTTAAATGTTCCAAGTTTATGTGTTTTCTATATATATATATATAAATATATATATATATTCAGTTGCGAGTCTGGAATAGCTCCAGTATTGTGGATTAAGAGTAAACTATTATGGATGATAAAGCACTAAATAAAGCATAATATTTATTTATGAAAATGCATAAATGACAAATCACTACAACAGTGCTATATAGGAAAATAAATATATATATATATGAGGAGACACACACTGAGAAAGCAAACAGTCTGCAGTTGTATAACTAGTGCCTGCCTATTTTCTCCCAAGACTCAAAAGGCCAGGTTTTACCCTCGAATCTCCTACCCACTCTAATAGAGGGTATTGTAAAGGGCTATTTCTAAGGCCAGAAAACAGCCTAAGGCAAGTGTGGAGGTTGCTTATTCTAGCACTGTGACATTCAAGTTACTGCCTGCACGGTTGACTTTCTGTAACACTCAATGTGTCATTATTATGCTTTCAGCATGTACAATGACGACAGGTTATATGTTTATTTTGCCAGGTGTGGCCTTTTAATGTCACTTCCAGATTTTGGTAGTTTCACGGTGCACATTGATGAGTGAGGGCTTGGAAGTCAGTGGTGAAGATAATTGTGACTTCAGTGCCCACAGGTCTAGAAATCCACTTTTCAAATGTAAATCGCTGAAGGAAGTTTAGTTTAGTTTCTGACTGGCATAGGTAAGATGGCATAGGTAAGTGGGAGAAGAAATTAAAAAAAGGAAGAGAGATGCCATCTAGCAACTGCTATCCTTTCTCTAGCACAAAGTTATTTCTATTAAAGAAAATGTTGACAATGTAAAGACTAAGAAACTAATATGTGTTCTTTTTTGAGAACCAGTGCCTTATTAAACCTGTAAATACTGTAATTAGAAAACCTGGGGAACAAACTGTGTTACATTGTATTTGTTCAAATTGTATATGGTTGTTTTAACATTCCCCCCCAATAAAATTGTTTCCATCTCCCCATGACAGAGATTGCTTTTACTTCTATTTCCTTTTCATGTGCTTGAAAAGCACCATCTTTGGGTTTCATATCCCTGGCTAGATTATTTTGACCGTGCCTCATTTTATTTATTTTATTTTTATAAGATTTTTCCTCTGAGCAAACAAGTAAACAGCAATAAGCGGCATATGTTTCCACTGGCATAAAAAAGCATCACTCCTTTCACAACTCAGTGAAGAGAAAAATAGTAATTAAAATAGTGTTATCACTAATAGAGCAGTCATTCGCGTTTTGAAGCTGATTATGTAAATCTATAGAAATGTGGCATTGGCATAATATTTTTTTGAGACACCCCCCCGCCCTTCATTCTGCCACGTATTTATAAATTTTGATTACTATTTTTAATAGCACAAGAAGCACGGGAGGTCATCTGTGCACAGACTGAAGATAGAATTCTCAGCCCCGTGCTTCAGGAGAGAAAGTTCCAGCCTACATACACAGCATCAGCTGAAACATAGCATTGCTTAACGCTGAGAGACATTGGATCATATGTACCTCTACATGTGGGGAGATATTGGTATGTAGTTGTACTTACAGCTGGAGCGCTCTTCTCATTCTGCAGTGCTGTGTTCCAGATTCAGCTCAGTGTTTCTTAATGATTAATTGTCTTGGTTATTTTCAGAGAAGTGTGTAAACAGCAACTTGCCCTGAGTTGCCACCTCCACACAGCTCCTGTAGCCCTCCTGCTTTGCCCCAGATCAGTGATCAGTGGCAGAGCATTGCAGTTATTCTCCAGCAGCATTTCTACAGTCCCTTGACCTGGCCACATCTGGGTGGGAAAGCCCTGTGCTTTCTGCAGTTCTCCCTGGCATGTCACTGTATCCTATATTTTGGGGTCTATTTCTTCTCGCTTTGGCTGCATGGTGCTGAAGGTGATGCGGTGCTCCAGCACAGCCTGTTTGGGCTGCCTCTTCTCCAGCATGCTGCTGAGATCGGTGTTTCTGCAGCTGCTTTCTTCCTCCCATCCTACTTGCTTTGTCCTAGCCTAACTTTCTAAGTGAAGTATGGCATTTGGGGGCACTTAGGCTCTGTTCTCATTTTCTTTCCTCTCCACCTTGCTAGGTGCTATTTAGCTTTGGACTTAGCTAGCTACCTGTGTGTCTTGTGCAACTGCAAGCAAAGTTGGGACTGTTTCCCTTCCATTCAAGGTTAGCAGTCATGCTACTGTCCCAAAATTGGAGCTCTGCTTCCTTGTCAAACACACTGAACCATGGCTTTCACTACTTGGGAAGTAGAGTCATAGTCCTACTTCAAATGTAGCAACACTGGAGCAGACCTTCCAGGAGTCTCAGGAAGAACAGCTAGTTGTCAGGTACCTCAAGGATAAGTCCCTGAATATGAGGAGGGAACTGCTGGGGCAATGCAAAGACTGCATGCTATGGCAGACCCCAATCCTTAGGGGTGTCAGAAACCAAAGGAAATTCAGCAATACACATGGACAAGGTGGGAATGGTGGGATGGACAGAAAAGAACTTGTCTCTTGTGAAGGCTGAGTATGTAAAGGCAGACAGACACCAGGAAATCTAAAACCAGTGACTGTCCAACTTGGGCTCAGTTTTGCAGAAACCAGCCCTGCCTGCAGCTCACCTCTCTTTAGCTGCTGGACCACATGGTGGCCAAAGTTACCACTGACAAAGTTGTGCCTTTTGTCCCTTGGGATACAGATCCTCCCTTCACATCATAGCTTCACGTCCTTCATATATAATCGTACTATTCCT